TTGAAAGATAGCCTTGAAGTCGAAACAATCCTGCCTCGGCCTTCCACGTGCAAGGATTACAAATATGTGCCACCACACCTGGCAACTAATACTTTTTTAAATATATAGATGTAAGTTATACCCATTCCTTTTGGTTGCTGATGATTTTCTGTTGTTATTTAACATGTTTTAGGAGGGTTTATTTGCCTTCCTCGCCCTAGTAATGGAGACTGACCCCTGGGCCTTGCACTGAACTATATATCCCCAGCTCTTTCTTTTCTCCCCTCCCTTCCCCACCCCATCCCACCTCTCCTTTTCCCTCCTCTTTCCCTTTCCTTCTCCTCTTCTTCCTTCTCCTTCATTCTTCCCCTGATCCTCTGCCTCCCCTTCTTCCTCTCTCTCCATGGTCTCCCTAAGTTGTTCAGGCTGCCTTGAACTTGTGATCCTCCTGCCTCAGCCCTTACTGCTTTTGATTTAGTGTATTGGTATTTGGTTGGAGAGATCCTGTGATCTGACTTCACTTACTGACTTTTAGTTTAATTTCTACCATGGACTGTTGAGTCTCTTGCCTTGCTTGGGTCTGGTTTCTATTACTGTGTATTCCTTGACGCTTGGTTTCCTCTCTGATTGTGGCCTCCAGGTCTGCCTGAACACTGCCCTGCTCTACTGCTAACCATGACTTGCCAAGTTTCGGTAGTATCTGGCTGGGCTGCCAGCCCCCCTCACCCAGCCCATCTGAGGGCTGCTCTGGGCAGCCCAGCTTTGCAGGACTCAGCAGTTCAGAGTGTCCTCAGAGCACCCTGGTTCTGGGGAAGCAAGCAACCAATTGCCAGGTCCCCTTTATTCAACTTTGTCAACACACACACACACACACACACACACACACACGCATGCACTTGTGTGCACATACATGCGCACTGCTTTTTTAATCTGCCAGTGTTTTGCTTAACAGACTCATTGCCCTTTCAACATAAATTCCCATAATTATTTCTCAAGTTATACTCTTGCCTTGCCAGAGATTTGCACTGCTGACAGATGTGTTTCCAACCAAGGTTGTGCCATTCTCCTATTTACAGACAAATACCCTCTCCTCGCCTTGGGGAGAAAGACCTAAGAATCAGAGCTGTCCTGAACATGTCTTAATAAGTAATAGATGACTTGTAAATCTTTTTGGAATGAGTTTTGACCTAGTGAAAGTTTCCTGATAAGATTGCAGAATCTCTTTATATCTGAAAACACTAATTTAAGTAATCATCATCAACCAAAAATCTACGTTTGGGTTTGACATGCTATCCCGTTGTGTTCACATGAGGGATAGTGGCTCATAAATGCAAACATAGAGGGGCTGACTGCAAGAAGTAGGAAGGAAGGAGGGTCTAATCTGTCATACTGTCTACACTACAGTACATTGCCTTTTACTTATTCTTTTATATTTGACTCTAATCTTTTCATGGACATACCATATTTGTTAATGACTTTTATTGTTCCCACTTTTTTGTCAATATGAAAACCACTGTTCTCACAAAGATTTCTAGTAACTTACACACAAAATACGTACTATGCCTTAGCTTTGTTCAAAGCTTTCTGGCTACCAAGTTGAAAAGGGTGACCAAATTATATAATTTATTTATTTTTTACTTTTTAAAATTTTTATCTTGACAGTACTGGGGCTTGAACTGAGGGACTGCGCACTGAGCTACATCCCCAGTCTTTTATTGTTTTTTAATCAGATTTTATTGGTACATTTTATTGGTACATTTTAACTTTAGAAAGAAACAAACACTGTATAACAGTAAGTTCTAAGACAAATTTCCCACCAAGAGCTTTCTATAAGGAACTTTGAATTACGGTGGTAAGGGTGACATTATCCAGTACTGCATACCATTCCTCTTGCCAGTAAAGTAGTGAGTTTTTTGTTAATTTCTTATGAAACCTACCTGGTAGTAACAGTAATTGTAACTCAATGATGCCAGTTCTTTTCAGAACAAACATAATATATGGCCTTCTGCTGTTTGTCCAACTTGAACCCAAGAATAGACTTAGAACTTCTATCATTAAGATTATCTTCCTGATGGAAGGGCCCCTTTTCCCTGTTGGCCTTCTGACTGGTCCATTACAATAGGCATTGAGAGATTGTGCTGTTAGGCAAGGGCTGGAGCTGCTGCTTGCTGGGTGACTGGTTGAGGTGGGTCTGTATGCCATAAAATCTAAATGAGAGTTGGTATGAGTGACGTCACTCAGAATCAGGCTGCCTGAGTAGGGGCAGGTTCCCTGGTTCAAGACTGCAGGAAAACCTAAAGGCAATGCCAGAGATGTCTCAGCACCTGCATCAAACTAGAAAGCATTGATTCTTTTTCTAATTCACTAATTATTAAGATTTAAATTTACTGCCAAGGGTGTGCATTCTCATATATTGCTGTTGGGAATATAAATTCTTAACAATCTTTTAAAAAGTAATTTGGCAATATTTTTCAAGAGCCATAAAGATGTTCATAACATTTGACCTGGTATTTGTACTTCTGAGAAACTGCCAAGGAAAAAGTCCTTAGGAAATAGTCTGTGCGTCAAAAACTTCTTAATGTTATTTGACATATTTCCTTCCTTCACTGACAGAACCAAAAAGGTGGAGGCAATTTAAATGTCCCACCAAAAGATAGTAAATATAATATAGTCACTTAAAGGAGTACGAAAAGTTACATGGTTTGAAGAACATAAGAAAAATTCTTAAAATGTTGACTGAAAAAAAACAAAATACAAGAAGGATTAACAATAGAAGTTAAACTCTGTTTTAAATAGACTTAGAAGAAAAGACTGGCAAGAAATATACCAAGAAATAAATTGTTATTTTAAAAGCATTCTGATAATTTTTGTTCAGCATCTTTGTTTTTGTTGTTGTTGTTGTTTTTTGTTTGTTTGTTTGTTTGTTTTTGGTTTTTCTCCGGTACCGGGAACCGAACTCACGACCTTGCGCTTGCCAGGCAGGTGCTTTGCCGCTGAGCTAAATCCCCAGCCCCCAACTTTTTGTTCAGCATCTTTGAAAGCAAGATAAATAATCATTACTCAGAAAAGGATGCATTTATTAAAGGTAGAGAAGGAGTAATTAATAATCCTGTGTTCAGCTAAATTACATTTTTTTTCCTCAGACCTCTCAGATCTGTCTGTTTAAAGTCACACTGAGCATTCTGATTTTGACACCAGAAAAAAAAATCTGTAGGTGAGGTTCTTTAAAAACCTTGGTATTCAGTTATTAGAACGGTTGTGCCACCATTATAAATAAATAAATTGACATTTAGGTTTATTCACTAGTGTCTTATGGATTTGATTAGTATGAGTCAGGTTCAAGGAGTCTGATTTTTGCTGGTGAAAGGGACCATAAAAGCTTTTTGAACTTGTATATATGAGGTCCAGATCCTGGAGTGCTTGATCTCTACCACAGTATAGCAGCAACCCTGGAACATTATTGGAAACCCTAGCAGTCTAGCCCTTTGCTTAGTGGTGAAGGAAGACAGCACAAAAATGAAAGGGAAAAGTTGCATTTTTATGTGATGAGCCGGTCTTTGAGTTTGAAAAAAAAAAGCAGCACCGAGTAGCTTGATTTAGTGGTGGTCTTCCCTTAAGCAGTGAGTGCTTAGTAACTCATGAGTAGTCTTAATTCTCAGTTGTGTGTGTGTGTTTGAACTTTTTCTTACTTGGGAAGGATGATCTGGCTAAGTATATTCACTAAATGTTTGACTCACTAATTAGCTTCTTTAGCTGTGTTACATAATTATATAACCAGTCATTGTTCTTCACTCATATGCTTATTTTTTAATAACAGCATTATTCAGATGTAATTCACCCATTTAGAGAGTATAATGAGTTGTGCAACCGTTATCACAGTCAATTTTAGCACATTTTCGTTACCCACGAAGAAATCCATTAGCAGTCACTCTCCTTATCCCCCAAACCTCCCAGCCCTGTATAGCCACTAATCTACCAAAGAATTGTGCACTTCACAGAATTTGGTGATTATCCAGAATGAAGATGTTCCAGTGTTGACACAGGCATGGTGGTGCATGCCTGTAATCCCAGCACTAGCCAGGCTGAGGCAGGAGGGTCACTGTGAGTTCGAGTTCGAGGCCAGCCTGGGCTACATAGTGAACTGAAGGGCAGCCTGAACTACATAGGGAGACCCTGTCTCAAAATAAAAGATGTTCCAGTGGTAAAAATTTGAGGACATTGGAAGATACTTGTACCAGTGCTTTGAATGAACAAGGGAAGAAGAAATGTTTGTAAGGATAATAACCTTTCATTTTGTTGTACTTGTTGCTTATTATCAAGTATATAATAAAAGGTATCCAATTTGACCATTAAAGAATATGTCATATCTGATATTAAGGCGCTTTCAACACTGATAGACACCAATAAGATTACTTTCTTACCCATTTTTGCTTGTTTTAAAACCCATATTGTACTGTGAGTCCTCAGTGACCTATTTAAAGGTTAGTTAGTAGTTTTTTCTCTGTAAATAGAAAATATACTGTACTTGGTCATTAGTTTTGAACGGTTTAAGGAAGGTAACTCAGTTCCATGGTTTGGTAGTGCCATGAACAATATTACTTTGTTTGTTTGTTTTAAGGTACTAGGGATATCCAGGGCCTTGTGCATGCCAGGCAAGTGCTCTACCACTGAGCTACATCCCCAGCTCTTTTAAACAGTTTTAAAACAGGGTCTGGTATGTTGCCTAGGATGGCCTTGAATTCATGATCGTCCTGTGTTAAGCCTCCAGCATAACTGGGAGTATAGGCATGCAACACTGCACCCAGCAACAAAATATATATATATTTTTTTGGAGGAAGGAAAAAAATTTTAAATACTAAATACATTTAAAAACAATCTGTATAGTAATATAGGTAAGTTTCAGTTGCTTAAGACGGTTTTGGTTATAAACATTTAAATGTTTTAATGTTTTAGAAAATGTATTATATGATGAAACTGCTCAGTATAGTACATTTATTTATCCATCCCAAAATTTCTTCCAGGAATTGTTCCATCTTCTGTTGTCCTGACTTCTTTCCAGGTGATGTCAAGAGTTTTTCTAATATGGGCAGTAACACATAGTGTCAAAGAGGTAAGTAAAGTAAAATAGTGTTGACACCAAGAGTCACCACCTTTTCTTTTGTATGCGTTTGTTATGGCTAAAGATGGAACCCAAGTCACCTGCACTATAGAAACTGGATCAAAAGGGAAACATACTCCAGATCTGCAGTATTGTTAAAGAATAGACTCTTAAATGGTCAAGTCCTATAATCTTGATTCCTATAGAGGTTTGGTGTGTGGATGTAGTCTGCAGCTTGGTTATATTTTTCTGGTATCTTGTTTATATCCATTGCACTAAACTTGGGGTGTCCTCATAGTGGGAATGGGAGATTGATTCACTCTCAGAGCAGCTTGACCTTACAGGGCCAGAAGAAACAAACTTGTTTCCACCCACCACAAAAGGCTAATGGAACTGCCACACATGGCAGTCTGGCTGTTCTGTAGTGGGTGTAGGGTTGCGGATACACAGCAGGCCCGGGGAGACTCCCTGCAGGAATAGGAAAGAGAAACCATCATCACCATGGGTGTGATCTGAACTAAACTTTCACTTGAAAGCAGAATTGCGGTGGGAGGGATGATTCTGCTCTTTCGAAGTTATTTGTTGCTCAAGTCACTTTGAGGTAGAGTACCTATAGGTACGAGAAGGATTCTGTTTCCAGTTTTCCAATGCCTTTGGCCTATCACCAGCATCACTGGATTCTTTGGACCCTATGAAATTGCTTACCTCTTACCAGTAGTATTATTCTGGTATGTTCTTTGTACTCTGTTCGTTTAATATTTCTGTCACAACATTTTGTTTTTTCAGGATTTATTTTGACAGTTTCATTTGGATCTCAACTAATGAGGTTTTTAAAAACCTTTTATTGGCTTCTGATATACAGAAAAATGCACATAGCCAGTGAGTTCTCAGCCAAAGTTTGGTCAACCTTGATTAATAAGCTTTATTTTTGCTGCATTCACATGGGATTTGCAGATTCACAGCTTTATTTTTTAAGATCTCTCTCACTCCCATGCAGGAAGATTGTAAAATAATTATATACTTTTTAAAACAGAGTGTAATCAAAATATTACCTTTTGTTACTCTTGTGTATGGAGTTGGGAAAGTTGCATTAGTTATAATCCTGTGTCATCTTTTCATTTTGAGTTCTTTCTACAAATTATTTTTAACCTATATTTCTTCCTCTCATACTTCTATGTATGTTATTTGCTTTTCATTTTGACCAGCAACTCCTAATTTCATTTTCCAGTAGTCTAAAATAACCTAAATTTTTTTGGTGATTTGCCACCCCTACATACACACATTTGTTTTGTTTTGTTTTGTTTTTGCCAGTGCTGGGGATCAAACCTAGGGCCTCCTGCATACTAAGCAAGCATTCTACCACTGAGCTACATCCCTGATTTACATTCTTAAATAGGTGATTATATATGTTCATGAAAGTATATGAAGTCAAACTATTCTCCACTAGGGAGTGTTCAATCACTTTGCTAATATAGTCAGATATTAATTATCAGAGTATAATTAATGCTCCACCTGCTTCCATAGCCACATCTCTGCCAGAGGGGAGGGGTAGGTACCTCAGCATCCCTTACAGTTCAAGTCAAGCAATTCTGATAGTCCCATTGCTGTCAGTGACATTTACCAGGTCTTCCTGGGCAGATCATTGAGACTGGTTGGCTTTAAAAGCTATTAATGCCGCTGTAGACCCCAGGTACATGTAGCTGTCTTGTCTTCCTCAAAATCAACTGCCTGCCAGATGCGTAGACCTAACATTTACCAGATAGTTTCAAGTATGATAGCACATTTGAGCTGTAAAATATACACTGAATTATCTGCATGTTTTAAATTCTCTGCAACCAAAGTAACCCAGTTCCTGCTAGCATTATCATCATTTTCTGAAGTTAGTGAATTTTAGCTTCTTTTTTCACCTTTTGAGTCTGCTTGTTTTTATATGTACCCTATTGTTTAGTTGACTTGTTCTTTTCTCATGTAAGTGGGGTTCACTGTTTCTGTGGATCCAAGGTTACAGTTCTTTTCTCTAAATAGGACTTCTCTATCACTTTGTTGATAGCAGTAGGTTCGCCCTCTAGGCTCCCCAAGACTGATCACTAGGCTGCAAAGTCCGTAGCTACAGCTTTTCAGACACCAGGCTGCTTGCTATCATCTGTTCCTCGGTCCCTTCCTGGCCAAAGGCTATATTTCCTGGCTTAGCATTTCTCAGTAGCTATTATTCCGTTCATTCTGTATAGTATATATGTTTCCATTCTTCTCTTTCTGCAAGCATCCTAAAAATACCTGTATTTTCCTTAGATCCAGCTCATAGTGGGATTCATATAACTAACACATACAGAAATTGGCCTCAGAAATACTGCTTAATAAAATGCATCTCACTTTCTTGTGTAATGGTCAAACATTTTTTGTCACACTGTACACTTGTATTTCTCAGTTTTTCTCACAACATCTCTAAAGTGGACAGCAGGAATTCCTCATTTTCGCCACACACCATAGATTGCTGAGCTCCACCGATGGCCTGTTCGTGTTCCTGTGCTCATGCCCTTTTGTTTGTCTGCAGTCGTAACCTCTGAAGGCTAAAGTTCGCTATTTTCACATTCAAAGAATGTTTCCTTTTAAGAGGCACAGTGTGATGTACAACTGCACTTGTTATTTTAATTCTGCACCCCACAAAATGGTCACACAGATGTCACCATGCACATTATGAAACCAAAGTTGATCAGATAATTTTATGGCATGTAAATGTCCACCCATAAGCTACTACTGTGTGACAGCTTGATCAGCAGAATGGTAAGGAATACTCAAAAGTGCTCTTTTTTGTTTGTTTCTTGGTGCCGAGGATTGAATCCAGCACCTTGCATATGCTAGGCAAGCACTATACTACTCCGTTATACCCTTAGCCCTTTCTTCTATTTTGAGATGATCTGAGTTGCCCAGGCTGTGCTCAAACTTGAGTTCTTCCTGCCTCAAACTCCTGAGTAGCTGTGATTACAGACATGTGCCACCACCACTAACTTTAAAAGCTTTTTCTTGACCTGACACAGCAAATTGGTACAGTTATAAGGAATTCCCATTCTTTTCCTTTTAAAGAGCCCATGTATGTAAAGAAAGAAAGTCTAATGAAACAGTGAGTGAGCTTGGGGGGTGAGGGTAGGAGATTCAGGGTGGAAAGTACAGGAGGGAATCAGCAGTCCTAGCTGACCTTGCTTTTCTGAGGTTCCCTGCCTATTCCGTACCTGACCTGGCTCCTCTCTACCCGCCCTCTGCTGCTGCCACATCTGGCCTCTCCTGGCATTTTCTCCTTGGCTGTTGGGGTCAGCGTCTTTGTCTTCCTGTTGCACTGAGGTGGGAAATGCCACCCTCTGTCCCTTACCGCACACCCCCCCTTTAAAACAGACAAGCTCACAGGGTACAAATTCTTCACTGTCCTAAAAAAACTAAGCTTAACCCCAAATTCCTAAGCACCCAAGTAGATTGTTACCCTTTTTTTGTTGTCTCAGTTCTCATTGGAGAAACCACCCCAAATCCTCTCCTAAGTCCCAAGGGTAGGATCACTGTGTTCCTAGAGCACAAGTACCCGGGCCTCTGTGGGGAGTAATTGAGGGAGAAGTTGCTTGCTTTCACTGAGGTTTTAGCCCAGAAGTCATGAAGAACCTCTCCATTCACCAGGGGTAACCAAGACACACACACAAAACTGTGCCAGAGTACTAGGCCCTCTCTTCCCCCTCACTGTTTGCCATTACTGGAGAAAAGGATGTTTTCCCACATTCTTCTGTAGTGTTTGTGAGTTCTGGTTTCTCTAAGCACTGTGCCCGCCACTTTCTGGCATGCTGCTGGGCTTTGTGACACTTAGTCTGCTGTTCTTCTTGCCACTCAGCAAGACACTTAAAAAATCTTACAATCAGTATTTGGGACAGTAACCTCCAGTTCTTTTTAAGTATACTGATTATTGTTTGTTTCATGTATTATAGTTGGCAGGGGAATTTCTCACTTGTTCTTGACCACCATCCTTGCAGGTAGGTTGTGGCCTCCCTTAGGGTTACAAGTTCTCTAAGCAGCCTGTCACACCCAGCAAAAACAGTGTTAGAGCTGGATTTCTGAGTCCAAGACTTCCCAAGACACATACCCTACTTTCTTCTTTCCCCTTGACAATATGATGTAAACATGGCATGATTTTCCTTGTGCTGCCTTTTCTCACTGCCCTATGGAATGGGCAGACCCAGGGGTGTGTCCGTGGTTCCATTGTGCCGTGTGCAAATGGAGCGAGGCTTCTCCTGGGAAAGCAATTACACATCGTGTGTGCATCAGCTTCGGGACTTCTCTCAGTGCTCTGCTTCTTGTAGCACTCTGCTTCTGTTTTTTTACTGCTTAAGTGGCTCTGGGATGAAGCCTTCTGATTAATTGGCCTTCCTCGTCAAAACTGCAACACTTTTTCTGAGTGGGCTGTAAAGACTGGAACCAGAATTTTCTAGCAATCCCACTCTACACTTGATAGATAATGTCTGTATTTTTCAGGGAGTCTGTATTCTGATAATTTTGTGCATTCTAACGTTTAAAAAATACCCCAAACATACCTCTACATTGTGCTGTCATTTTTGTTTGACTTTCTCATCTTGAATTTACTTCACTATTCTGTTAGTTTACTCAAAGCCTAACCAGGTCTCAGCACTTCTTTCTCAAGAACAAGAGCCATTATTTTATTCCTGAAGAATGAAAGCCTTAGGTTTCTTTAAACTGCTAAGTAAAGTTCCCGTGGAGTTTCTGGCATCTGCTTCAAAATCTCATATCACTGCTGATGAACAGATAGAGGAAGCTTAAGAAGCCCAGCTTGAAGGCTGAGCGAGATCTGAAAGCTGACTCTTGGCATCAAAGAAGCAAGACTGTCTATCCTTCGTTTATTTATTAGGGAAAGGGATCAGGAGTCTAGCTGCCTCACCGGGAGAGAGCTGTGGGAAAGCTCTGCTGGCTGCCACGTGCATCGTAGTACCCACTGCTGCCACCAGGAGACTACAGGTGGCTTT